AGAGACAGAGTGGGGAGCAGAACAGGCAGATCTATGAAGTACACTGTTGAGGGGAGCAGCGGGCGGGTCAGGAGAGGTCTGCCGCGCCATGTGGTCACCTCCGGGGCAGGCAGGGATCAAACTCATGCAGAAGTGGCTTTAGCTTCTTAGTGCTGTGCTTTAACCTGTTGCGCCACCAGGGAGGGCGGGGGAAGGCTAGTTTTAACCCAACTTCTCTAAACAGATAGCTATTGTCCCTTTACTTCAGGTCGGGCTTTGTGTCAGCTGGGTGAATAGAAGGTGCTGGAGCATGGAGACAGGAAGCCTGAGAGCAAAGTCCACGGTAGTGGGCCAGTGGGTGTGGGAAGGGAGTGGGAGATAAGACTGAAAGAAGGTGGAGGGCATTGGGAAGATCTCGAATGCTGAGGGATCTGAGAATAAAGATCCCCAATGTGTCATCACTGTCTACATTTTGTCTTTTCAGAAAATACAGTTGGTAGCAGATTGTGTTCATTTTACTTATATAAAAATATAATTAGACTTAATACTGGATTATTCATTTGTATAGATTTTACTTTGCAACATGCTAAAATCTGGGATTCGTTTCTGTTTCCAAACTGCATACGCAGTAGAAAAATATCTTTTTTTTAAAAAATAGATTTCAATTGTTTTTACATTGTTGTTCCTATTTTTACAGTATTTGGTTTCTCCCCTCAGGTGTAGTCCCTGTAAATCTCCCACCACCACACCACCTGGGAACCATCACATGGTCCCTGGTGCTCTTCCCAAGCCCATTGACCCCTTTTCCTCACTTTCCCCTGCTTTCCGCCTCAGAAAAATAGTTGCTAGAAAAATGCCTAGTTCATGTTTAACATTATGAGTCAGTTTTAAAGAGATTTAGTTCAGCTGAACTAAAATTCTGTTGCAAAAGCTAACTTTTACAGCTTCTTAGATTTTGAGTCTTAACTGTCCTCAGAGGTCTTAATCCTGGTTTTTCTTTGAATTAGCTATAGAACCTTGGGATAGTTTTCTTAAAGCAGGTGACCTATATAAACAATATACACATTTCATATCTGTTTATTGCTTTCTATGTCTGCATGTGTTCTCTGTAGCTGTCTACCATATAGGGATGTGTTGTAGAAAGAGCTGAAGGATGTTTTGGACTTCGGTGTGAAGCATGACAATATCATTTCCTAGCTGCCTGGTTTTCAGGAACTGCTTTAAGTTTGAACCTCAGTTTCCTACCTCACTATGTTGAAGAAGAGCATGCATTTACTGCTGAGACATTGCTCTGTGTTTTCCATTTTTGGAAACTGAGGCAGAGAGATTAAGTAGTACATTCCCAGAGAGTGGAAGGCAGAGCCGGGTGCCCAGTCCACTCGTATGCACCATCCACTCTGTTTTTGTAGGGGCCCCCCACCCCCACCACTCCAACATAATCCCCTATACACAGATCTTAATAAATGCATATTTCTATCTTTACGTCCCATGGCATTTGCGAATCTACCATGGGCGAGTACTCTTAGCCTTTGAAAGTATGAGCTATCCAAATAAAAGGCATTTAAACATTTCAAGATCTGAATTTTTAGAGTGGATGGAATTTTAACATGCTGGTAATGTTAGTGGTATGTGTTCAATGTAGAAAAACCTTAAAAGTAAAAAGATGAAAAAGGAAATGAATCATTCAAACCTCTAGTGATAAAGAAGAGATTGGGAATTTAGGGAAATCAGTGCCTTCGTCACTCCATTGCTTTTGCCTTGTTCTAGAAGGCCAGCCTTAATAGATTAGCCTGGCTAGAGATCTAGAGATGCCATGTGAATTTCTCAGATCTTGGAACCAGTCACACTATATACAAGATTGAGGTATACTTTTTTTTTTTTTTAAAGATTTATTTATTCATACAGAACTGGGGTACAGGCCAGAGATGCGGAGGGTGAGAGGATTCACCAGA